GGCTGCTCTGGCAGCAGCCCCTGTCTGCAGGGAGCTGGGACCCCCCCATGGAGAGGGGCTGCTCCTGCAAAGCAGCCTCTGTCTGCAGCAGGCCCAGGCTCCCCATGGACAGAGGCTCACTTCCCTCCCAGCCCCCACTGCATCTGATAGAGGTGGCAGCACGGGGGATGCGGGGCAGATGGCACCATAGAGCCGGTGCTGGGGGAAACCAGCTTTTAAGGTGGTTTCTCCAGCACTGGCTCCTTCCCCATCACCACCACTTGCTGCCTCTGATACAGAATGTTCCATCCATGTGATTCACAAGCTGAACTATTCAGAGCTGGGCTCAGTCTCTTTAAGCAATGTCTGAAGCATCACTCTGCCAAAGTCTGAATCAGATCTGAAAGCAGCAGACAACACAAATTGACAAGTGAATATATTAACTGCAGACCAAATAGCAGCCCATTTAAAAAACACCTGTGAGGCCAGGGCTGGCCTTACCATTAGGCGAACTGAGGTGGCTGCCTCAGGTGCCAGAACTAGGACCCAGAGTGTAGAAAATTGTATCTGCTGCTGGTGCATATGTATTCTCTCTGCTCTAGATGCACAGAGATGGTGGAGTGCTGTGCTGGAGGAAGGAGGGCACAAGAGACATAACAGGCAGGCAGGAGAAAAAGGGGCATGGGGGCATCATTTGAGCACCACGCCTCAGGCGCCAAAATGTTGTTGGCCAGCCCTGTGTGAGGCACATTGAATCCTGTGAACCAGATCACCTCACTAAGAAAAATGAGAATCCTAAGATGTTGTTTGGTTAAACTTGGCAGCCATTGCCAACTACACCTTAGAATAAGTACATCACTGATACTGGAATGAGATGTTCCAGTTGGTGCACAATCCAGCTGCCTGTCTGCTTAGCAACATCATGAATAACATTCGCCACATAAACCCATAGAATCCAGTTCTCTTCAGGATCTCTAGCTAGACCAAACCTCTTAAGGTTGGCCCTAGCTCCTTCAGCAATCATCTCTTCCCTGCACCCACCATATCATGATCTTCCACCAAAACCATGGTAATATTCATCAGGAGACTAAACACTCCTGGGAGCTGGACAGACACTATCACAAGACATAAGAACAAACAACCATGCTTGTCTCCTGCCTGTATGAAGATGGGAAAATCGGGATCCTTGCTAAGAGCCTTTTGATCATCAAGAATAATTTGAAAGTTGGATATATGTAAACATGAAGCAGGCCTACTCCAGATATAGGAGATGGGGCGGGGGTATGAAGAGGCTGGAAGGGAATGAGTCAAATAAGCTTCTGCTCACTATGCCAATAAAGGATAATTTTACAGTGACAACACTGTCAACCAGTTGATAATATATGTGCTGCACTAAACTGATATTGTATTACAGCACTGAAATTGTACAGAAGCTTAATGTTCTTTGTATCCTATTCTGTCATTTAATTTAAGATAATAATTACATAATACATCATTTCTTAATGTAGCCAAATCAGAAACACAGAATACTGAACATCTGCAAATAAATGAAGGTGATGATATGGTAAAGGTGCTTTTTAATCCTGGAAAAGTGCTCTATTACTTTTCCCAAGCTACATAATATTTAGTTAATTCTTTGCATTAACAGATTTGCTCTCAATTTGTGTATAATACTTGTCATGGTTGCAGACCCCTTTTAGATCTGAATTGCACCCCACAGATAACAGAACTGGCTTCGTTCATTTCTCTTAGGGTATGTCTACAGAGCAAAGTTATTTTGAAATAACAGCCATTATTTCAAAATAACTTTACTAGTGTCTACACAGCCAAACCGCTATTTTGAAATTAATTCGAAATAGCGGAGCGCTTATTTGGAATTTGGTAAACCCCATTCCATGAAGAATAAAGACAAATTCAAAATAAGTGCCGTGTAGACACTTATTTAGAAATAGGGGGTCTCCAGCCTTCCCAGGGTACCCTGGTGGCTACTCCAGCCTCAACCAAAAACACTTCTCTCCCTCTCCTCCTCCCCAGGGATTGACTCTGGCCACAGTGCCTGTGCCAACTCCAAGCCTGCCAGCCCAGAGCCAGCAGTCACTGCCCCTGATACAGGGGCCCCAAAACATGAGCCAGCAAGCCACTGGCAGCCAGCCCTCCACCACTCCCCAGGAGCAGTCCGCCAGCTCCAAAGAGCCTGCCAGGGCCCAGAGAAGGCAGGCGCCTTCCTGGTTCAGGGTGGAGATCATTGACCTTATTCAGGTTTGGGGGGGGGAATGCCCCAACGTCCATGATCTCTGCAATAAACAGGGGAACGCAGTCATCTATGGCAGGATAGCTGCCAGCCTGGCCACCAAAGGCCACATGCGAATCCAGGAGCAGGTTTGCATGAAAATCAAGTTGGTCCGGTGACACCCTCAACCCTGGGCCCTGAGATTCCCCTCCCCCTTCTTTCCCTTGCTTCCCCATTCCAGCTCCCTCCTCCCAGGTTTCCCCCTCCCCTCTCCCACCCTCTCTTCTCCCCTCCTTTCCCCAGTCTCACCAGAGTTTCATTCCTCCCCTCCCCCAGTTCTGTTAAGTAAAGAGAGTTTGTGTTCATGAAACTATGTGTATTTTATTTGACATCAGGAAGGGGGTTTGGGGAGGGGTAAGTGGAAGGACGTGAGGGAGGAATGAGGCACAAGCCTCCAGTGGGTCAGACCAGGGAGGCTCTTAGTTCTCCTCAGGGTGGAAGCTCTCCCTCAGGGCCTCCTGGATACAGACAGTCCCCCGATGGACCTCCCACATGGCAGCCTGCAGAAAGTGCAGCCAGGCTCACAGCAACACATCCACGAGAAGCACCATCGTGCCCAGGGGCAGCTCTGGCTCCATGTTGCAGAGTGCTGTGGTGTCCCGAGTGAGACAAAATGCTTTGCTGTCCCTCATCGAGGTAGACAAGCAAGCAGGGAAAGCTGAGAACCAGCTGACCGGGGGGGGGAGGGGGTCCCTTGAGGCACAGACCTCAGATAGTCTCAGGCATCAGCCCCACACAGTAAGTCCTGACCTAGTGCTCTGCTGGAACTGGTTCCGGCCAGCCTTAAATGTGATTCAGAGTCCACTCAGTGTGGACGCACTATTTCGAAATGCCTTTTGTATGTAGACATATTATTTCGAAATAAGCTATTTCAAAATAACTATTTCGAAATAAGATATTTTGAAATAACATTGTAGTGTAGACATACCCTTAACTAGTTAAACAGTTGCCAGAGCAACCCTTGTCTTCAACAGGCCCCCTGTAAGGTTGGGGTAGCTCTCTGCTCCAGCCCCTGCTGGTTACCAGTTAACTGGAACCATTTGGGGTAATGCTTCTGGGTTAACTGATTGACCTCTCACATCCCTTATCCAGTCAGGCTCAGGAAGAGTTAATCTCCTAGCATGGCAGGACCCAAATCCGTTATCCAAGTCCATAGTTCTCTTAAGGAGACCTATCTCTGTTTTGGATTGTTTCCTGTCTGCTCCCCTTCTTCCAAAAGCCTCATTTGACACAAATTTCACACAGGTAAACAAAGAAGCATATGATGAAAAAGTAATATGAATAATTCCCTCTTTCTCCATAATCCTGTATACATACACACAATGCAGTATGGAGCTTATATCGAAATCTGCTTCCAATGGCCTGACATTTAAATTTGACACTTACAACTCAAGCCATATCTGAAGAGTTCATGCACTATGTCTCATATTATGTAGCAAATTACGTAGAAGGAATTCAAGATTCTTAATAATTCTAATGAATTACTCAACTATTAATAAAAGTAGACTTTACAGGAATAATCTTAAAGGGACTGAGTTAATTAATGTTGGACTTCTAAACCTATCTCTGGGTTTTCTGACTCCTAAATATTTCTTTTCTCAGTCTTGTTAAACAGGACACTATCAACTTGAAAGTCACACTTCGATTTATTTTAAACTTCTAATATTTACAAATAATACCTAGGATAACTTAACAATTAAAGAAGTTTTATTTTTTCCAAACGTGGTACTTTAGTTTTTTTGTTTGGACACAATGTTCCTTTGATTACAAACAAAAAGTTGACAATTTCACTGTTCTCTCCTACTGCCAGTCAATCGCTTGCAGAATTGGTGCAAAAGGGATGAATTCAGGAAGGGAGATTAAGCAGATTTTTTAAGCACATATATAACTAACATTGAAGCCGAAGGAACATAAGTACATGCATAAATTCTTTTCTCAACTAAGCCCTTATTTTTTTTCCTCTTTCTAAAACACTTAGAAATATCATAGGAAAAAGAACTCTTTCTCCTTCATTTTTTAAAAAGTGAATTAAAGAATACTGTTTAATGACATCTAAAGCTAGATTTTACATTTCAGCAGTACAATCACTATAATATCAGTTTTGGATATTTTTAAATTTTATATTCCTTCTATATAAGCTATATTATATATACAGCTTTGCCACTTGTGATCAAATATGGCTCTCTTAAGTGCAAGTCAACAATGCTTTGCCACATAATACAATAACTAAAAGTTGTATCAACATAATTAATGTTCAGGCTTTTTTTTTCAAGTTTTTTTCTGTTTTAATAGAGGAGAATAACTTTATTTAGTTACGTGTTGGATAACTTTACTACTTTTCAAGACAGCACAAGGAAGAATAATTGAGAACTCACAAGAGAGCATTTACTGAACTTCAAGATTTTTGGCATGTGCTAACCAGTACACACAGTGTTGTATTATTTCCGTACCAGTGATTAATGCCTCTTTGATACTGCAAGAGATCTGTCAACATGATCCTTTAAAACAAAGAACTACCATCAATGTGCCTGGATAGTAGCCATTTCATAGGCTGTCAAGTCCCCAGAACTATAGAGTCATAAAAGCTCCATTAATCAGGCTGAAAGATGAATACAGCCTTAAGATGTCCATCCTGCAGCAGGTGTAAAACTGCTTATTTAGTTTTTTCTCTGAGTGACTGACCTTGTCTGCTAAAGTCAACTTCTCAGACAAAAGCGTATGTCCTGCTTACCAGATCCTCGCGTAGTTGGGAAATGAGTTCATCTCTCTCCTTCAGCTGCAACTTCAGCACTGAACATTCATCTTTCATTATATCCTATAAAAACCATCAAAAGATGTTATAATAGGCTAGGACTTTTATTTTGCTCTTGACAAGAAAAGGCAGATTCACACAGTATAAGAGAATTACATTCAAGCAACAAAACTCAATTGTCTTGTCATATTTTAACAACATATTCTAAGTTGCAGTAAAAACAATTAATGCATCCAAAGTAATCCAATAGCTTCTTGATTAGAAGTCCATTTTGTTAGTGTCTGATTCTTTGCAGTCTTTTATTGAATTTCCTCTCCGACATCTTTTATTTTAGTTAAGAAGAAATGGCCATAAAATTCCTAGTGTTTTCTATGAACAAAACTATGACAAATAACCATTTAGATTAATTATTATGAAGTTCTCAATCTGACTGCAGATGGAGAAAGAAAGCACAATAGAAATCCAAAAAAGGAAGCAACTCTTATACCCGCAGCATGTATCGTGACAGGAAAAACGGCAATGATACTAATGTTAGTTGGGTGAAGGAAAAGTAAGCACAGATCACTCTTTTTGCTTGATGGTGCATGTGCAATTAGTATCTATAGGAGAATCCGATGCTCCTACAAGTGAAAGTGTGAACAGCAGAGACCGCAGCCAAACTTGGATGAGTCAGGCCCTTTGCATATTTTCCCCAGAAAAATCTGTCAGTTTATTTCAGTCTTAAGTTCCCAGTCCTTACTTGAAAAGGGAGTCATTCAAAAAATCTTTTGATATAGCCACACATCTAAGAGGGATTTAAACTTTACTAACCAATCCCCTCTGAAGACCAAGTCGGCCCTAGAAAAGCTATAAACACACAGGCTGTGTCTACACTGGGCCACTTATTCTGGAAAAATCAGCCGCTTTTCCGGAATAAGCTGCGAGCTGTCTACACTGGCCCTTGAATTTCCGGAAAAGCAACGATGCACTACTGTACAAAATCAGCTGCTATTCCGGAAAAGCTACGCTGCTCCCGCTCGGGCATAAGTCCTTATTCCAGAACACTGTTCCGGAAAAGGGCCAGTGTAGACAGCCCAGTAGTCTTTTCCGGAAAAAAGCCCCGATTGTGAAAATGACGATCGGGGCTCTTTTCTGGAAAAGCGTGTCTACATTGGCCACAGATGCTTTTCCGGAAAAAAGGCTTTTCCGGAAAAGCATCCTGCCAATGTAGACGCTCTTTTTACGGAAATACTTATAACAACAACTATTCTGTTTTAAGCATTTCCGGAAATTCATGCCAGTGTAGACACAGCCACATTGTTTTATTGTAGATCCAGGTTATACTTGCCAACAAGTGTTTTTGCCAGTGTATTCACAGCTACAGGAGGACTCTGGCCAATGGTTTTAAGTGTAGACCTGGGATAAGTGACATAACCAGAGTTTGAAGAGGTTAGATGTTCAGAATTGCACTTAGTTCTCTAATGGTGTCTATGTTCCTGAAATTTTAACATAAAAGTGGCTTAAGTGATGAGTGTATTCCTTCATTTGTAAGAACTTTTTTCCTTTGGTAAAAAGTTGTAAGTGCAATTACAATAAGCACTTTCCAATGCAATTATATGCTAAACTTTTGTTCTAAACAAATTAAAAAATAAAATATAGTCGGATGCAATAGAAAATAGTCACAGTAAAGAAAAATAGACATATCTGTATACTATCAGAAATAAGAGCCTTTGTACTATTAGTTTGGAGGCCGATGTAATATTTTAGTGTTCTTGACTATATCATTTGAAGGGCTCATATTTAGGAAAAGATCAGGATTTCTCCTTGCTGGGCTAGAGGAGAATTTATGGAGGTAGCTATAATTTCTATCTACTCTTCAGTCTATTCAATAAATAAGTTGTTCAGGAATGCTAGCTCAAAATATAATATACAATACACAACAACCAAAAACATCCCAGCAACAAAATATAAAAACTTTAAATGGACATCACTTTATAAAGCTATGCTACATTTTTATCAATTTATTTTTACTTTTCAAAGCTACAGATGCCGAAGACTAGAAAGTTATGGAAAATAAATGCTCTTACCAGGTTTTTTAACGAAGTCCCCTCATTTGAAACAGAGCCATTTTTTTATTGAAAAATAACTTCAAAACTATGTAACAATTGATGTTGGGTAGTCATGCCTCTTTTTTCTATTTATTCATATCTAAATGTCTTCTTTCAAGAAGGCATCACATTACTCCTTGTAATCTGCATCTTTTCTCCTAGTTCAATCGAAGAGTCAAAAGTATAAGAAGTGAAGGGAGAGAAGCAGGAGAACTCCAGGGAAGGACAGCATATTACTATAGTTTGTGAAAAATTATAGGATTTAAAAGGCATAGTAAATGTAACAAGTGTACTACTGATAGATTGTGACTACCTTCACATCTCCATTCATCCTAGAGAAAATGCCATCTGAGCCGTACCATTCTGGCAGTTAACCAGCTCACTGCCTATGGCTTCTCCTCATGCCTTTCTGGGTCCTTACTATCAGTAGTAGGCAGAGGAGTACAATGACTGCAGTGCAATTATCCCTCTTGGGAGCATAAAATGCCAGTTACCCTGCTGCCTCTCCCTCAATAGCACGCCCGTAGCAGAACTAACCGGAATCTGGCCTCATGTCACTACCTTCACAGAATGTAATATCTGATTCTCAAATTGCCTACATCCTCCCCCATGCCAGTATTATGTAAGTTGGATATAATGATAATAAAATAATGTAGTGGCAACAGTGATTGGTAAAGTGATTTTGTTATAACACACTACAGATTTATACAGAAATAAGGGTTTTATACAACTTATGTTCTGGGATCATGGCAGGCAGCAGGGCCACCATGCCCTCCCCTCCCCCACCCGCTCCCTCGGCCACCTCTGCCTGCTGCTGCTCTACCTGCTCAGTGAGGCCAGTGCTGGGTGACTGCAGGCAGGGATTCCAGCCAGCAGGGCTCCCTGTAGGTTGGGAGCGCCATTCCCCCTACCCCACCTGCCCATCGCCCCGCACTCTCCTATCACCCTAACACAGTGGTTCTCAAACTTTTTGACCCACTTGGCTCAATGCAAACCTTTCTGTGGACCAGCTGTTGCTAATGGAAACTCACCGTTAATTACATAATGACCCCCGAGCCATTTTGCTAGTGCTGCAGCTAGAGAGAATGATTTAATTTAATCAGTAAGAAAGGCAATATTAATTTAAATTATTAAATAGATAAAGCACTTTAACTATCTCATGTTAGTTTATCAAGCTTCATTTTAAATAAAGTAAAATATTAATTTATGTCAAATACAAAAATTTCCTGTGTTTCCTTTCTTTATGGCAGTGGGTGGGGAACCATTTTTGGATTGGAGACTATTGACCTACAGAAAAATCAGTTGGGGACCACACAAGTGAGAAGTGCCAAAAAAAAAGCCTCTAAAAACCGCCAACCTCACTAATTGGGCCCCCAATTCACACACTTCATTCCTCTGGCCTTCCAGCCCCATGGGGGGAAGGGAAAGTTCAGGGTTTCCCTTAAGCCAGATTTATTTTTCTGGGATTCCAAGGTTAGTGGATTTTGTGGAACGCCCTAGGCTCAGGGGTTAGGACAAAAATTAGGGGTTCAATTTGCGGGACAGGGCTCCCAGTGAAAAGGATGGAGTGTAGGATCTGGGCACGAGGTAGGTGTAGGAGGAAGTGAGGGTGTGAGATCTGGATGGAAGGTAGGCTACAGGAGCAGGTTGTGGGGTAGGATGTCTGGCCAAGGGGGCGGGTGCAGGAGCAAGGGAGGATATAGGAGCAGGTTGGGATAGGGTATCTGGCCAAGGGGGAGGGTGCAAGAGTGAGTTGGGGGCAGGTGTCTGGCCAGGCAGGAGGATGCCTGAGGGGGCTGAGTGTGTGGGGGGCTGGGCATGAGGGGTCACTTACTTGCCTTTGCACTCCCCCGCCCCCATCGCTCCATGTAAAACGGCCTCCTGCTGGTCTCATCGGCTGGATTCCAGACAATGGGATCAACAGGGAGAGCCTCCAGGCAGCACACCCACACACTGCTGTTCCCCCAGCCAGGGAATGGGGAGCACTTCTTTCCTGCAAACTGGATGGTGCAGTGAGGATCGGGGTTTTCTCCCCCAGCCCAGTGGGAGGCAGATGCTGGCACTCCAACATCATGGGGGAGGAGGGAAGTATGAGGGAGAGTGAGGCTGGAGCACCAGTGCAGACTTCCCACTGTGGGGGGATGGAGGTGGGCTAAGCTCGAGCCACAGTCCCACTACTCTAACAGAGCCCCCTCATGCTTACTTAGAGGACCATCTGCACCCTTCTCATTCCCCCCTCCCATGGGCCTGTATCTATACAGTAAATACTGTCAAACACAAATGGTATTGGGGACTGTAGTGACAAAGCTTGGCCTCTCTCTGAGTTGGAAGCAGAAGAACTCCCCAAGCCACCCTGGTGTGCAGAGCCAGAGCAACCCAGCCCTGTCCCCAGGAAGCAGAGGGATGGGACCAGAAGTATAAAGGCAGTTGGGCCAGATATAGCCCAAAGTGAACCTCCTCCTGAGATAGGAGGCTTGGCCACACCGCCTGGAAGAGAAAAAATGACCAAGACTGCCAACAATCTCAAAGACTGGCAATCCTGGCCAGTCAACCAAGCCAATGGAAATTTTGCTAGAGTCTTTGTTCCCCCCAGACTCAGAAGAGCTGGGGCCAAGACAGGTAGCTCACAGGGGGACTGGGAAGTAGCTCAGGGATAGCTACTGGGAAGTAGCTCAGGGATGTGACCCATGTCTGGCTGAGGATATGGAGGTGAAATGGCCAGCATGTTGTGATGAGCATTGCTGCTGACCTAGTGGCAGCTGGAACCTCCACTGTTCGGGCCCTGAGCTGCAATGCAGTGGACAGGTGGACCTGCGTACCCCTTGCCACTCCAATCCCTGAGTGGCAGTCTCCTCATTTTGGGACAAAACACTTGGGCTTTGTTGGCTTTCTGCCAAAGTTGGGAGTTCCAATTGCTGCTCAGCTTGAACACGGGACTGTGCACCCTGAAGTTATTTCCCCGCCCTGAACTAGGGA